GGTAGATTAGAATTATCGACCCCATACTGCATATTGGGGAAGAGGGTTTTAAAAAGAGAGAGAGTGTCCGCCTAGTTCAAGAACCTTTAAAGGTCACTCCCAAAATAGGGGAGTGGATAAAAAAACTACTCTTTATGGTTGAAATGGACAAAATGACAAGAAAACTTAAGAATCTGGAGGCAGAAGAATTTTTTACAGACTGGAAAGACTTTAAAGACTATTTAGAGAAATATTGGGATGTGAAGAACAACTTACTTTGCTTTGATAACTATTGAAAAAAGAATGATATTAGAAGAAGTGTAAATGTATATGAACAATATTTGAAAGATATGTTACCTGTAGAAATTGAGTAACAAGTAAGGGAGGAAGGAAGAAAATTTAAGATTTGGGCTGGAGGTTGGAGCACTGTGGGAAGTCAAAAGGGGTGGGGAATTAGGAGAAGAAGGATGTATAACAGTTTGTAATGTGATATATGTTTGACTTATTAATATATCCTAATAAATTGTTTTTCAAAAAAAAAAGAACCTTTAAGGGTCAAAGAGTGACCAAAAGCCAAATAAAGACATTTATTTTAAATACTGACTTCATGAGATAGGTACCGTTTGGACAAGTTTGTATTTAGTTGTCGGAAGCCGCCCTGAGCCCTGCCTGGCAGAGAAAGGAGCGGGATAAAAATGGAATAATTAAGTAAATCAATAAAAGAAACTTTCTGGGGCACAGCTGAGAGCCAGTTTGGTGTAGCGGGAGAGCCGGGTTTGATTCTTCCAATCCTCCACATGCAGCTGCCGGTGTGACCGTGGGTCAGTCATACGTTCTTCCAGTCTTCTTCTTCTTATTATTCTATGATTCTAGAGCGGTGGACACAAGCACAAAACTGCTTCTTTTTCTTCTTCTTCTTCCCTTGAATAAAACTTTGTTGGTCTTAAAGGTGCCCCTAGACTCGAGCAGTGTGGTACAGCAGTTAGAGTGTAACAGTAGGATCTGGGAGACCCAGGTTCGAATCCCCGCTCTGCCATGGAAGCTTGCTGGGCAACCTTGGGCCTGTCAGTCGCCACGAGGCTGTTCACAGTCTCTTAACTCCTCTTTACCCAGTTCCTCCCTGAAACCCAATAATCCATTTCTACTCCCTTTTTTTTTTTTAAGGAACCTGGAGTCCATTTCTAATCAATCCCTTTCCGATCAAAGAGAAATTGGAAGAGAGGAGGGGCAGGAAGGGAGGCCCTACAAAATTTAATAGCCTCACTGTGTGGAGACGCAAAGGCAGGTCACATGTCCCAAAACCCCGCCCTCCCTAGCTCCACACACCCCAAATCTCCAGGTATTTCCCACCCCAGAGCTGCTAACACACACACACACACACACTATTCTCCATCTAATCTGCCTCACAAGATCATGGCGAGGATAAAATGGACGAGAGGAGAAAGATTTAAGCCACCGTGGTCCCCCATTCTGGTGAAAAGCAGCGTAAAGGTAAAGGTTCCCTTGCTCGAAAGCCAGTCGAGTCCGACTCCAGGGTCGCGGTGCTCATCTCCGTTTCCAAGCCGAAGAGCCAGCACTGTCCGAAGACGTTTCCGTGGTCATGTGGAAGGCGTGACTCAACGCCAAGGCGCACGGAGGCAGCGTACAGACAAAATAAATAAAAAACAGTATTAAAAAAAATATCAATCCCCCAAAATGAATGCAAGCCAAACAATATTTAACCTCCCCCACCCCTTGCAAGGTGGAGCTGCGGTGGCTCAAGAGGCTAAGATGCTGAACTGCAGGCTGTGGAAGGTGGGTAGTTCAGCAGTTCGAGACCCAGGTGCGCCACATGACGGAGTAGACTCCCGTCTCTAGTTCCAGCTCCTGCCAACCTAGCAGTTCGAAAGTAGATAAATAGGTACCACTTCAGTGGGAAGGTAACAGCGTTCCGTGCGCCTTGGTCTTTAGTCATGCCGGCCATATGACCACAGAAACGTCTTCGGACAGCGCTAGCTCTTCGGCTTGGAAACGGAGATGAGCACCGCGACCCTAGAGTCGGACTCGACTGGCTTTCGAGCAAGGGGACCCTTTTACCCCTTGCAAGTGTGCACAAACAGGGCACGTGGCACCTAAAAATATCTCTCTCGGGAGTCTCTCTCTTTTCCTTCCCTTTTGTTGACACGGCCATGTGATTTTCGTAGCCTTGGTGTGAAAGTGAAGCCAGGGGGGGTGTTTAATGAGCAGGAGACATGAGAGCAGCAGACCCCCCGCCAAGACTGGCACTGGAGGCTATTTTGGGATGCTCTTTGGCCAAAAGGCAGGAGAGAGAGAGAGGGAGATGGATGTAATCAGTGAGGTGCAGCCGTTTGTTGAGTTCGACACCTTTCTAGAGACTGGGCCTCCCAACCCTTTTAAGCCTGCTGGCACCTTTGGAATTCTGTCACAGAGTTCCTGTGGCCCTTTCTTACACGCCCGGGAAATGCCGGATTGCCACTTTGGGGTCAGGAAGCAATTTTTCTCCAGGCCAATTCGGCCAGGGATCCTGGAGGGTTTTTTGCCTTCTTCTGGGTGTGGAGCAGAGGCCGCTGGGGGTGTGTGGGGGTGGTGTTTGTGAATTACCTGCCTTGTGCAGGGGGGTTGGACTAGATGCCTTTGGAGGTCCCTTCCAACTCTATGATTCTATGATTCTAGAGCGGTTGGCACAAGCACAAAACGGCTTCCGCAGATGGCGTAACCACAAGCACAGAAGAAAACCAAAGTGCAGGGGAGAAGAGAGACACTTTTTTTAAAATACTCTGGGAAGCCCTGAGGTCTAATCAGAAGTCCTTTCAGACAGGGGAAGACAGACCCCGCCCCCATCCCTCTTATGTATTTACATTTATTTGTACATTTTTTTTACCCTGCCCCTCCTTCAAGGAGCTGGCATACACAGATCGAGACCCAGTTTGGTGTAGTGGTTAGGAGTGCAGACTCTAATCCGGGAGAACCGAGTTTGGTTCCCCACTCCTTCACGTGCAACTGCTGGTGTGACGGGTGCAGTCACGAGTTCTCTCAGAGCTGTTCTCTCAAGGGCAGTCCTCGAAAGAGCTCTCTCAGCCCCGCCTACCCCACAGGGTGTCTGTTGTGGGGAGGGGAAAGAAAAGGAGTTTGTAAGCTGCTCTGAGACTCCAAGTGAAGGGGGGATAGAAATCAAATCTCCTCCTCCTCCTCCTCCTCCTCTTCTTCTACCTTCCTCCATGTTATCCATGCAACAGCCCTATGAGGTAGGTTAGGCAGAGACACACAGAGAGAGATTGATTGGTCCAAGGTCGCCCAGGTAGTTTCAGGGCCAGCAGGGATTTGAAGAAGAAGAAGAAGAGATTGGATTTATACCCCGCCCTTCACTTGGAGTCTCAGAGCGGCTTACAAACTCCTTTCCCTTCCCCTCCCCACAACAGACACCCTGTGAGGTGGGTGGGGCTGAGAGAACTCTGACACAAACTGCTCTTTTTCAAGGACAGCTGTGCCAGAGCTTGTGACTGACCCAAGGTCATCCAGCCATGTGCAAGTGGAGGAGTGGGGAATCAAACCCGGTTCTCCCAGATTAGAGTCTGCACACTTAACCACTACACCAAACTGGCTCTCCAGTTTGAACTCAACTCTCCCTGGCCTTGGTCCAATACTCTAACCCACTACACCACACTTCCTCTCAATAGGCACGGGACTGCTGCTTCTCCCACGGAGATATATGTCCTGCCATGTTGAAGATCTGGACTTGGGATTCTTCTGGACTAAAGAGGGCCCACCTTACATAACAGAGCTGGGCATACCTAAGGCCGTGACCCTTCAGGTCTGAGAAACACTCACCCGCCGCAGAAGATATATGAAAGGGACAGCAGAAAAGGTTGCTTTGTCTCCCAAGGTCTGAACCTTCCGCCAGGTACTAGGCACGGAGTAAATAGCCGTTCCGTTATCCTCCGTGAAAGGTCTTTCTTAAGAGACCAGAGCAACGGCAGCAAAATGTCAAGTGCATTTCCTTACTAAAAACTGGTTCTTTTGTGAAGAGGAGGAATTGTTCATGCAGGGATGTTGTCTTTCGCTTCCCTTGCTCTTTATATAACACGACCGCCTGTAGCCGAGTTGCTGTCGCATCCCAGCAAAGCCGTGGCTCACAGGCACCATGGGAAGGTCAGCAACAAGGGGAGGTTGAAAGCTCAAATAAGGGGCGATTGGATTGCTGGGTTGCAAAACAGCCTGTTTGAAGGTAGCAAGACGACAGAGAAAGCTACCGTGTTTCCCCAAAAATAAGACACTGTCTTATATTTATTTTTTCTCAAGAAGACAGACTAGGGATTATACCACAAGTGCATAGGGCTTATTTTTTTGGGTAGGTCTTATTTTCAGGAAAACAGGGTATGTAGTGGGTTAGCTGAACTTCAGCACCAGGGACAGCTCCACGGGTATCAGAGAAGTTATTCCAAAGAAGGTCACAAATCAGCCTGTTGCAACTTGGGGTCCACTGCAAGAGGTTTTAAAGAGAGCCAGTTTGGTGTAGTGGTTAGGAGCACGGATTTTAATCTGGAAGAACCAGGTCTGATTCCCCACTCCTCCACATGCAGCTGCCAATGTGACTTTGGGTTAGTTACAAGTTCTCTCAAGAGCAGTCCTTGAAAGAGCTCTCTCAGCCCCACCTACCTCCCAGGGTTTCTGTTGTGGGGAGGGGAAGGGAAAGGAGATTGTAAGATGCTCTGAGACTCCTTTGGGTAGTGAAGGGTGGGGTATATATCCAATCACCTCCTCCTCCTCCTCTCCTCCTCCTCCTCCTCCTCATACTAGCCTGAAATCATTCCTTGAGCATTCTCTGACAGTGACCTCTAGGGAAGCAAACACACTTTGGTGGTTGGTGTGTCAATTCCTACATTACACCTAAAGGTCCAGTCTATCTATCCCATAGACAAAGTCCAGCACAATCTCTTTCTCGACCTCAGAGGGGCCACCGGAGAATTCCAGCAGCCTCGTCCTATTGTAGCACCTCACTGTCCCTCTTTCTTCCCCTACAGTTTGAAGCCTCATTCCCAGAGGGGCTGTGTCCTGGCTGGAATGTGAGAGTCAAAGGTGAAACGGGCTCCAGGACAAATGAGTAAGGCCGTCATCTCCAGCTGTTTCTATCTGGGGTGGGGCCGTGGTTCAGTGGTAGAGCATCTGCTCTGTCAGCAGAAGGTCTCCAGTCAATCTCCGGCATCTCCAGTTAAAAAGGCCCAGGTAGGAGGTGATGGGAGAGACCTCTGTGCCTGAGACCCTGGCTCAGTGGAAGAGCTTCTGCTTGGCATGCAGAAGGCCCCAGGTTCAGTCCCTGGCATCTCCAGGTGAAAGGATCAGGTAGGAGGTGATGGGAGAGACCTCTGTGCCTGAGACCCTGGCTCAGTGGAAGAGCTTCTGCTTGGCATGCAGAAGGCCCCAGGTTCAGTCCCTGGCATCTCCAGGTGAAAGGATCAGGTAGGAGGTGATGGGAGAGACCTCTGTGCCTGAGACCCTGGCTCAGTGGAAGAGCTTCTGCTTGGCATGCAGAAGGCCCCAGGTTCAGTCCCTGGCATCTCCAGGTGAAAGGATCAGGTAGGAGGTGATGGGAGAGACCTCTGTGCCTGAGACCCTGGCTCAGTGGAAGAGCTTCTGCTTGGCATGCAGAAGGCCCCAGGTTCAGTCCCTGGCATCTCCAGGTGAAAGGATCAGGTAGGAGGTGATGGGAGAGACCTCTGTGCCTGAGACCCTGGCTCAGTGGAAGAGCTTCTGCTTGGCATGCAGAAGGCCCCAGGTTCAGTCCCTGGCATCTCCAGGTGAAAGGATCAGGTAGGAGGTGATGGGAGAGACCTCTGTGCCTGAGACCCTGGCTCAGTGGAAGAGCTTCTGCTTGGCATGCAGAAGGCCCCAGGTTCAGTCCCTGGCATCTCCAGGTGAAAGGATCAGGTAGGAGGTGATGGGAGAGACCTCTGTGCCTGAGACCCTGGCTCAGTGGAAGAGCTTCTGCTTGGCATGCAGAAGGCCCCAGGTTCAGTCCCTGGCATCTCCAGGTGAAAGGATCAGGTAGGAGGTGATGGGAGAGACCTCTGTGCCTGAGACCCTGGCTCAGTGGAAGAGCTTCTGCTTGGCATGCAGAAGGCCCCAGGTTCAGTCCCTGGCATCTCCAGGTGAAAGGATCAGGTAGGAGGTGATGGGAGAGACCTCTGTGCCTGAGACCCTGGCTCAGTGGAAGAGCTTCTGCTTGGCATGCAGAAGGCCCCAGGTTCAGTCCCTGGCATCTCCAGGTGAAAGGATCAGGTAGGAGGTGATGGGAGAGACCTCTGTGCCTGAGACCCTGGCTCAGTGGAAGAGCTTCTGCTTGGCATGCAGAAGGCCCCAGGTTCAGTCCCTGGCATCTCCAGGTGAAAGGATCAGGTAGGAGGTGATGGGAGAGACCTCTGTGCCTGAGACCCTGGCTCAGTGGAAGAGCTTCTGCTTGGCATGCAGAAGGCCCCAGGTTCAGTCCCTGGCATCTCCAGGTGAAAGGATCAGGTAGGAGGTGATGGGAGAGACCTCTGTGCCTGAGACCCTGGCTCAGTGGAAGAGCTTCTGCTTGGCATGCAGAAGGCCCCAGGTTCAGTCCCTGGCATCTCCAGGTGAAAGGATCAGGTAGGAGGTGATGGGAGAGACCTCTGTGCCTGAGACCCTGGCTCAGTGGAAGAGCTTCTGCTTGGCATGCAGAAGGCCCCAGGTTCAGTCCCTGGCATCTCCAGGTGAAAGGATCAGGTAGGAGGTGATGGGAGAGACCTCTGTGCCTGAGACCCTGGCTCAGTGGAAGAGCTTCTGCTTGGCATGCAGAAGGTCCCACGTTCAATCCATGGCATCTCCTTCTAAAAGGATCAGGTAGCAGGTGACATGAAAGTCCTGGACCTGAGACCCTGGAGACCTCCTGCCAGTCAGAGTGGACAATACTGTCCTTGGTAGACCAAGGGACTGAGTCAGTATAAGGCAGCGTTGTCTGTTCGTGCACCCAAGCAGAGCCTGCTTTAAGGGGTTCTCCCCCTCCCTGAAATCTCTTTCGTAGGTTCCAGATCAATTTCCTCTGTGGCGCAGGAGAGCAGATTGCGTTCCACTTTAACCCTCGCTTCCAAGACTCCGTCATCGTCTGCAACTCTTTTCTCGACAACCAATGGGGGCAGGAAGTGTTGACCGACACCTTCCCACTAGAAGCCAAGCAGCCTTTCCAGGTAACTCCGAACCTCCAAACGCCTTCCCTGGACACACAAAACCACGCCATGCCCCGTGTAGCTAAAAAGAACCTTGTTGTGAAAACTGTGCATGCTCGGCTGCAAGATCACAGTATATGAGGCATGGGTCCCAACAGAAGATGGAGCGGATCCTGGTGGAACACCAAGGGAATTCCCCGTGAGGATTACACTGGAGGTGGTGGAGAAGCAGGTTCTGATCAAGGACCAAGAATGATGGAGAACTGGAGTCAACGTCAGGGGTAACCAAGCCCTTTGAGGAGAGGCTGAGGAACTAGGGAATGTTCAGTCTGGAGAAGAGGAGGTTGAGGGGGGACAGGATGGCTCTCTTGAAGTCTTTGAAGGGCGTGGAGGGAGGCAGGGAGCTGTTCCTGTTGGCGGCAGAGGACAGGACTTGCAAGAATGGGTTTAAATTAAGGACGGGAAAGTACCGACTGGATATTAAAGGTAAAGGTTCCCTTGCTCGAAAGCCAGTCGAGTCCGACTCTAGGATTGCGGTGCTTATCTCCATTTCAAAGCCGAAGAGCCAGCGCTGTCCGAAGACGTTTCCGTGGTCATGTGGCCGGCATGACTAAACACCAAGGCGCACAGAACGCTGCTACCTTCCCACCAAAGCGGTACCTATTTATCTACCTGCAATTTCTTGCTTTCGAACTGCTGGGTTGGCAGGAGCTGGAACTAGAGACGGGAGCTCACTCCATCATGCGGCACACTTGGGTCTCGAACTGCTGAACTACCGACCTTCCACAGCCTGCAGTTCAGCGTCTTAACCACTTGAGGCACCGCAGCTCCTTAAATTAAGTGATGCTCTGTCTTATTGGTGCTTGGGGGGGGCAAAAGTGGGAGGGCTTCTAATGTCCTGGCCCCACTGGTGGACCTCCTGGTGGCACCTGGTATTTTTGGCCACTGTGTGACACAGAGTGTTGTACTAGATGGGCCTTTGGCCTGATCCAACATTGGCGTCTCTTATGTCCTTATGTTCTTATGTTAAGGACGGGGAAGTACCAGCTGGATATTAGGAAACACTTTTTGACAGTCAGAGTTGTGCAAGAGTGGAATCAGCTGCCCCGGGAGCACTGTCCCCCTCTAAGCGGAGCTAGTGTGAGCCAGCTCACAATTTTTTTAGCCTCCGGCTCACACATTTTGGTCTCGGCTCAGGAAGGAGGGCTCCAGAGCAAACTAATTGATGCAGGAGACAAATCGCTCGTTCACAACTTGAATGCCGGTAGCTCACAGAGTAGAATTTTTGCTCACAAGACTCCACAGCTTAGAGGGAGCATTGCTCGGGAGGTGGTGAGCTCCCCCTCCCCGGCAGTCTTCAAGCAGTGGCTGGAGCAACACTTGTCGGGGACGCTCTAGGCTGGTCCTGCATTGAGCAGGGGGTTGGATTGGATGACCTCTATGGCCCCTTCCCACTTTGTGTGATTCTAGGATTCTATAACCAAGGCTGTGACTAGGTAGATAGTCTACTCAAAGCAAGGAGTAATAGAGAGAAGTCCAAACACCGGGAAAGGGAAAGATGGGGGAACTCAGAAGTAGGGGGGAAAACAGGATGGAACCACGAGACAGGTTCTGGGGCTTGCGTCCGAGGAACCAAGTCTGCCCCAAAGCAAAATCCACGAGTAGTTCCTGGTCATCAGGAAGTCGTGGTGTTGCCTGCCGGTGGGGAACTGCTGATTGCTGCCCTGTTCATCATCAGGTTCCCAAGATGTGAACCAACCAGGCGCACTGTGTTCCCGGTACAAATACTGTTGGTGTTCTTTGATTCAGGGTTGATGGTCGTATTGCAAACACGAGAGCCACATTTAGTAGAAGAAAAATATCTTTACTATCAAAACAAAATGAAACATGGGTTTTGGATAAGACTTTGGATAAAAGAAATAAAATAAAAGGTTGCACACTTGCAGTTACTTTCAGTAATAAACGCTAACAGCCACATCTTTCTATCTGTCTTGGCTTCTAGAGGAGAACTAACTCTTTGGTTCACACAAAGGGCCATAAACTTTGTGAATACATGAATGCTAGAAACCAAAAAAAACAACACCACTTGGCAAAAACAACTTACAAGCAAATAAGCAAGTATATAATGATCAAATAAGCATACAGCAAGTGTAATGTAAATCAAATAAGCAAGTATGATATAATGAAATGTAAATCAAATAAGCATAACAACAAGTATGATATAAATCAATAGGCCAAGGTGCAAAGATAATAGAAACAGTCAGAGTCTTCTCTAGCATAGAAGCAATATCAAAGTCCAAATTGGAATAATCAAATTTTCTGAGCCATCAAAAGCTTCTGAGCCATCAAAAGCCGACGCGTAATCCGGATGCCTGAAGCCGCGTTTCGAATTGTTCTTATTCAAGTATGGCTGTAATGGGACCGGGACCCAGTCTCAAAAGCTGGCATAAGCTAAGCCAGAATGATCAGTCAAGGAGGATCAGTCAAGGAAATGCTAGATCAAAGCATTTCCACAAGCAAGTTGTTAGTTGACCAATACAAAGGTTACAGGTCACTTCATTAGAGTAAACAACTCCCACAAACTTTCCCGCCGTTGAATACATTACATAACGTAACATCCTGTTTCCTAACAAACAACATTTAACTCTGTAATGACTGAAGTGTAAGCAACTTGCAATTCCAACAAATACCAGTAAATCTCAGTGGCTTTCCCTTTCATGCCCAAACAAGACGTTCTCTGTCGCGACATTGCTAATTCACAGGCACACAGAACCACCTGTCTGTCCATTGACCAAAGGAGTTAGTTTGGTGGACATATGACAGAGAGGGCCTTTTGGGGGGCAGCCCCTCGGTCATGGAACAACCTCCCCGGGGAGGCGTGCCTGGCAAAAAAAAACAACCCACGTTTGATCGTTGGGAGGCAGCTGAAGATGCATCCTTTCGTGCAGCTCGTGGGCTCGACGGTGGTCGTGCATTTTAACCAGGGACTAAGCGGCCTCTTTTTTTCCAGATCGAAATCTCCTCCGACCAAGACTACTTCCACGCTTTCGTGGACGACAGCAAGGTCCTCCAGTACGAGCACCGACAGAAGCAGCTCTCGGCCATCTCCAGAGTGCAGATCCTGAACGACATCCACATTTCCTCGGTGGAGTTCACCAGACGAGGTCTCTACTAGTGGACATAGCGGAGCAGAAACGGGCAGCGTTCTCTCTCGTCAGGCAAAGTGTTCTCTCGTCTCGTTGTCAAATTTCCACTTACCTGCCAATCCTCTATGTCCCCCAAGGAGAAGCCTGGCTGGGGGCAGAATTCGAACTCGAGAAGAAGGTCGGTCCCTACAGATGACTGTTTTCAACCTGCCATAAAATTAGTACCCTGCGCCCCAAACACAAAACTAGACGTACATGCAGAGCAATGTTCCCTCTAAGCTGCGGAGTCTTCTGAGCAAAAACCCTACTTTGTGAGCTGCTGACATTAAAGTTGTGAGCAAGCGATTTGGCTGTTGCAGAAATCTGTTTGCGCTGGAGCCAGCCTTCCTGAGCTGAGACAAAAATGTGTGAGCTGGAGGCTAAAAAAACTGAGCTAGCTCACACCAACTCACCTCAGAGGGAACACTGGTACAGAATATACTCTGTTGTATATTCAATATTTTGTGTGTAATCTTCTGATTAATATAAAAAAATAAATAAACCCAAATTTAATTTTCTCAGTATTTCCGCTGTTTTCTGCAGGGGTCATTTCGTAGAAAAAGAGGTGGCGGAGCTCCATAGCATAGGTAAAGGTTCCCTTGCTTGAAAGCCAGTCGAATCCAACTCTAGGGTTGCGGTGCTCATCTCCGTTTCCAAGCCGAAGAGCCAGCGCTGTCCGAAGACGTTTCCGTGGTCATGTGGCCGGCAGGACTAAACACCAAGGCGCACGGAACGCTACCTTCCCACCGAAGTGGTACCTATTTATCTACTTGCAATTTCTTGCTTTCGAACGGCTAGGTTGGCAGGAGCTGGAACTAGAGATGGGAGCTCACTCCGTCATGCGGCACACCCGGGTTTCGAATTGCTGAACTACCGACCTTCCACAGCCTGCAGTTCAGCGTCTTCACCACTTGAGCCATTAGCATAGCTCATTAGCATATGCCACGCCCCCTGACATCACCGGAAGTGTGTCAGAAGGGGAAGCAAAAAAGGGGGAGAGGCATCTTCAAAACCTCCCCTCCCCTTCCCCAGCCGGCCTGCCAAGGCGGGGCGGGGAAGCGAAGAGAGAAGGGGTTTAAAGTTTCTCTCTGGAGTCGCACCACAGTGGCAACACAATCTTTCCATTGTATTCTATGGGGCCATAGGATACAATAGGAGATCGTGCCGCTGCTGCTGCACTGCACGACTCTAGAGAGAAGGAGTTTAAACTTTAAACCCCTTCTCTTTTTGCTTCCTCCGCAAGCCCGCTGGGAGTTGGGTGCAGGGCTTGCCGCCATCGCCATTTGTTCCTGCTCCTGGGCTGCCGGAGCAGCGCTCTGGCCCGCTCCGGCCCGAAATGACCCCTGGTTTTCTGTTAACCCAAGGCAGGGGAAAGGGTAAACGGTGGAAAATTAAGATGAGAAAACGGTTCAACGGGAGGCTGAGACAGCAACAAGCAGGGAGGCGGAACCTACACAGGCCTGCCTTGAAGTCCGTCCCAAAACCATGGCCCCTCACAATCTCAGACCCAGCACGGTCTCTAATCCACGGTCCTTTCTGTCCACCTAACTCTTGGGAGACTGGTCAAGAAAGGGATTATATTTCAGGTGGTCCCCAGATGGCATGGCACCTTCTGATACCTTTTCCGTAGTAGGTAGGGCAGGGCGGGGCTCTCCTTATTGTCTTATGTTCTTATCTTGCCCTGGTACTGAAATAGGGTCACCAACCTCCAGGTTGCGCCTGGAGATCTCCTGCTATTACAATTGATCTCCAGACGACCAAGATCAGTTCCCCAGGAGAAAAATGCTGCTTTGGAGAGTGGACTCTATGGCCTTATACCCTGCTGAGGCTCCTCCCCTTCCCAAGCCTCACCCTCCCCAGGTTCCACCCCCCAAAATCTCCAGGTATTTCCCAACCTAGAGCTGGCAAACCTGCGCTCAAAGAACTATAATAAAGAAAACAGTCATGAGGGTCTGACCCACAAATCAAGCAGTCAACAAGACTCGCAAAGAAAATGCTTTCTGTATATTAAGGTCAATAAGCGCTACAACACAATAAACAAATTCCTTCAAATCATAAGAAAATCCTAGTGTAAAAATACATCAATGTCGTCTCCGGATTACATAAGAACATTTCAGAATTGGATCTTCCTCAGGAAATATTAAAGGAAAAGGTAAATGTTCCCTTGATTGAAAGCCAGCCGTTGCGGTGCTCATCTCCGTTTCAAAGCCGAAGAGCCAGCGCTGTCCGAAGACATTTCTGTGGTCATGTGGCCAGCATGACTAAACACCAAGGCGCACGGAACGCTGTTACCTTCCCACTGAAGTGGTCCCTATTTATCTACTTGCAATTTCTTGCTTTCAAACTGCTAGGTTGGCAGGAGCTGGAACTAGAGACAGGAGCTCACTCCATCATGTGGCACATTCGGGTCTCGAACTGCTGAAATACCGGCCTTCCCCAGCCTGCAGTTCAGCATCTTAACCACTTGAGCCACCGCAGCTCCTCAGGAAATATTAGACCTGGATGCTGCATGACGGAGTGAGCTCCCGTCTCTAGTTCCAGCTCCTGCCAACCTAGCAGTTCGAAAGCAAGAAACTGCAAGTAGATAAATAGGTACCGCTTCGGTGGGAAGGGAATAGCGTTCCGTGCGCCTTGGTGTTTAGTCATGCCGGCCACATGACCACAAAAACATCTTCGGACAGCGCTGGCTCTTCGGCTTTGAAACGGAGATGAGCACTGCAACCCTAGAGTCGGATTCGACTGGCTTTCGAGCAAGGGAACCTTTACCTTTACCTAATATTTCCTGAGGAAGATCCAGTTTTGAAACGCTGTTATATAATTCAGAGACAACGTTGATTATGTATTTTTACACTCGGATTTTCTTATGATTTGAAGGAATGTGTTTATTGTGCTGTAGCGCTTGTTGACCTTAATATACCGAAAGCATTTTCTTTGCAAGTCTTGTCGACTGCTCGATTTGTGGGTCAGGCTCTCACGACTGTTCTCTCTACATTTGAACCCTGTGCTCAAACCATCTCCCTTTCCTCCCATAACATCCACAACGCCATCTATCTCCCCCTCGAAAATCCCACCCCAGCCTGTTGCAAAATGATCTCTCCCCATTCCCTTATCTTCTTGGAGTCCTTCCATGATAGAAGAATTTTCTCTCTCCCCCCCCCCCCCCCTTAAGAGCCACACAGCCCCTTTTAAACCACGGCTGGAGACAAGATGAGGGACTTGCCGCTGGCCAAATTTTCGCAGCACAGGGACCCTTAACGTGACATGCCGCGAATGGGATCCGACCCAACAATGCAATTACTTCGGCCCTGAAGATTTAAGAATGGCTTGCCAGTGTTTTATGGTGTATCTCGGGGCCTGCCTCTCTGACCTCCACCTTGGCCTAGATGATAACGGTCCTTACAGAACCCAGATAATTGAAAGAACCATTAACTCTCCTACGGGGGAAGTTTTGATCTTTCCAGAACAGGTTTTATCTTTACCGGCCAAAGCCGTTCTCCTCCGCTCTTATTCCTCCTCAGCCGCCTTAGAAGCAAAGGGGGCAGCCAGTCGCACTAAGGAATACTGCGACCCCCCCTTTATGAGCCTATTAAAAGTTTACAGCTTTCCCCCCAGACTGCGAAGGCCGTTAATCTGAGGAGAAATGTTTTCAACAGCACAAACTGTTCTGAAAATCCCAGGATGGTCCAGGAGACACAGCCACATTTGCACGCACGATCTCCGCATTGTGCGCCCGCTCCCAGATCGAGGCGTGAGCCACAATGTTCCCTTCTATCTCAAATGAAAATGGATCGAGGGAAAGAAGTTCAAGAAAAATAGTCTGAACTTAGACTGGCAGGTTGGGAGGGCTCAAAAATTGTATCCCCCCCCCCTCCTGGCTACAGCCGGTCTAGCTCTGCTGATTCATAGCACTGTACCCCTCGAGGCTAGACTACTGCACGGCGTACTACATGGGGCTGCCCCTGAAGATATCCCAGACACGTCCTTTAGCACTGCCTGAAGTTGATGGGAATGAGCAAATTCAGCCATATTTCTGAGGTCTTGAGACATCTCCTTTGGCTGCTGGTTTGTTTCAGAGTTCAATTCAAAGTGAGGGTTTTAACCTTTAAAGCTCTTAATAGCCCAGGTGTGACATATTTGCTGGACCTGGTATGAGTCTCTGAGGCTGCAGCTTCCGTCCTCAAAGAGGATGCTTACAGTCTCAACACCAAGGAGGAGGAGGAGGAGGAGAGGAAGAGGAGATTGGATTTATACCCTGCCTTCACTACCCGAAGGAGCGGCTTACAATCACTTTTCATTCCCCTCCCCACAACAGACACCCTGTGAGGTAGGTGGGGCTGAGAGAGTTCTTTTGGGGACTGCCCTTGAGCGAACAGCTCTGAGAGAACTTGTGACTGACCCAAGGTCACCCCAGCAGCTGCATGTAGAGGAGTGGGGGAATCAGACCCAGTTCTCCCAGATTAGAGTCCCGCGCTCCTCACCACGACGCCAAACTAGCTCTCTCTACACCAAACTGGCCAGGATGGTTTCCGTTCACACTGGGGGTTTCTTCAGTGGCAGAGAAGTCCTTTGGAATAGGGTGCTTAGAGACGCCCGGGGGGAGCATAATCTCTTTTGATAGTAAGAGGGGGAAATGTAAGGCTGAGTTTAAAACGGCCTTTCAAAACTGACCGGCGGCCCTCACCTGGATAGCCCAGGCAAGCCCAACCTCATCAGATCTCAGAAGCTAAGCAGGGCCGACCTGTTGGGTGATAGTGAGATATTGAAAAAACGGTATTTAGCAGAGATAAGATAGCCCAGCAGAGCCAGAGTAAAACAATTCAGAGTCCATGTGTGATTAAAATATACAGTTTTTACTAAATTCTAGCATGGGGAAGGGTAACTGGGATGAAAATAACAACAGAGCTAAATCGGCTACATCCTTACACTACAAAGACAAAACTAGAAGAGAGCAATTATGGCTGCTCTTCTTCTTCTTTCAGAACACCAGACA